CTCTGGCGGTCGCCCGGCTGGCGATGCGTTAACTTGCCTGTTTTCGCAGGTGCAGTCAACCAAAAGAGCGGATCCCGCTGAACTGCGAAATATTTTTTTGCAGGTAAAATGATCTGTCTAGTGTTGTCTCATTGACACGCGTTTGTCTTCTGCCCTCTCAGCAGTGTGCCACAGCGTCACACGCGTGTCGTGCTGGTGGGACGCGTGAGAGTTCACTTTGCAGGCACAGCCTGTGGAAAGGGCCTTCAGGCGTCGAGGAGAAACTGCTCCTGACACAAGTCGTGGTTAACCGTTTCCAAATGATAATCTTAAATGCTTTTCAGAGGTATTTTATGATTTCCTATAAAGCAGATAGTTACCGCCATAACTAAGTACCGTTATTTTTAAAATACGCTTTTGCAAGTTTCTCAAAAATTCTTCTTCCATGGCTGTATGTTTCATCCTTGGAGTTCATAGGTGTTCCTCTTACAAATGGATGGATGACTGGCAATTCTTAGAACTTAAAACTGGTTTCCTAAGATTGATGTATTTCATAACATTATCCCTTGCAAGGCCTTAGAATTAACATATATAAATAACAGCATGAAGCTTTCTCCACTTGCCTTAGTTACAGTGAAGCACAATCTGAAAGGAAAATCCAGTCAATCCTTAAATTTTGATAAGGTTTGAATGAGGCAGGTGGATTAAGAACAGCTGTGTTTTAGGTCCATAGTTGGGCTGCTGATATTTCCAAAATCACTAAAACGCCTTTTTTTCTTTTCCCTTTGAGTATTACACAGTATATTCAAGAACTTTGTTAAAAAAAAGTAAAGAATATAAAATTAGGTATGTGAGCTAATACTGTAAATAATATGGTCTATTATTTCATCTTTCACATGTATCTTTTGGTCCTACCGTATTATCTGACAGTTTCCACACGTGATAAGAAGATGGAGAGACCTTTTTGCCGGAAAGAGAGAAGTTTTAGTCCAACCATAATTTTGGCAGATTTTTGCTTTTGCATGCTGGGTTACACTCGTAACAATGCTGGAGTGCTAAAACTTAGCATGTTGGAATCAAACTGTGAAAGTCCAGCACTTAAGTTTCTCATAAAAAAATCTTACATCACAGGTTCATTTATTGTTGACATTTAGCTATGTAGGTAAGGAATACAGTAGAGCATGTTAATAAAATAAGCCACATGAAATTTTTTTTTTTTAAATATATATTAATAGAGTACAGAAATATGTGGCTCTAGAACATCACACAGCTCTCTTCCAACTTTTTGCAAGATACTTTTGCATGTTTGATTGCAAAAAAGTGAAATGTGATGTCAAGATTCTCTGCTTTCACGTTGGAAATGTGGACGTTTTACGATTCTTGTCTTCCAGTCAGTAGAAGTGCTTTCTTCGGGAAATAAGTAAACTGTTTGAAGTCTTTGATTTTGGTCCTACAGGGAAAGGTGAAGAGGAAGAACATTGTACAAGCGGATCTTGAAATTGTCTCTCTGACAATACATATTTTATTGACCTAAAAAGCAGTCTGCTGGTTTTAAAACAGCTTTTGGGTCTTCATGTCTATCTTGTCATCTTCAAAGAAACATGCAAATTAAGCTGTGAATTGTTTTGTGTTCTGAGGAATGAAAAATACAAAAGCTCTCCTGTCTCCTCTTGAGTATCTGAGATTTGAAGTAAAAAAAAGACAACACAGACACCTCTGGCGTAGAGAGTTTATATTTCTTCTGTATTGTATTTTATTATAATTGAGTTTGAAATTGTGTTTTTCGTTTGATAGATAGCAAGCAAACTTAGTTGCCAGCTTTAAAAAAACCAAAAGAGAACCCACTCTTTC